AATTTTTCAAAAAAAAAAAAAGAAAAAAAGTTCAGCCATCTTTATGGATTTATCATTTCGAAGTTAAATTTTTTAGTTTTTTTTTTTACAAAAAAAAAAATCTAAACGCGTGTCAATATTGTTAATATTTAATTAGTTAATTAAAAAATTAACAAATTGCAGTTATTAATATGTTGAAAAGGTAAAAACCCATGATTAATTTGTTAATTTTAAAATACTTGTTGTTGCTGCCTTTTCGTTCGAGAACGTTCGATTTGAAAATTTCAAAAAAAAAAAAACCGTTAAACCCGCGAAAAGTAATAATGGCGTCGTCTCTTTCACGTTTTGAATTCGTGAAATTCGAGAAACACACAGATAAAAAAAAATAAAAGTTAAAACGACTTTAAATTAAAATAATATTTTGAAACGATCATTTTCATCAGTTTTTAAAAAATTGCTTCGGGTACTGATTTTTTTAAAAATAAAGTAATAGTAATAATAATAATAATAAAATATTTTATAATTTTTTAACGTACTCACCTTCCTATTTCAGAACAAGGTGAACCGTCCGAACAAACGGCTCCTTTTTTAAATATACGATGTATGGAAGGTGATGGAGGCAATGGTACTTCAGGATCTGGAGGTTCTGTTTTTTTAATTTCTGTTTTCATTGCTGTACCTATGTGCATCAAACCTACTGCGATGAGTATAAGTACTGCGAGTCCGATGGTAATTATGAAACATGTTCTAAAACTAAAAAAAAAAGAAACATTTTTGTTTGTAATTTTTGATTTTGTTTCACGTAAATTAATCAAACACATATAATGGCGATAGTTATAGTTAAAATAAGGATGTTTTATTATTTTTAAATATTTTTCGTTTGAAACGATTCGTTTCCAATGTAACAAAAATTCATATTAAATAAGAATGATTCATATTATTTTCAGTTTCATTATTATTATTATTATTATTATTATTATTATTATTACTATTATTATGTCTTCTTTTCGGTTGGATTACCTAATTGAACACAAAGAATTATTAAAGACTACTCAACTAGTTTTCAATATTCAAGGTCTTGCTATCTATCAGTATGTATAATAATGTATAAATTTATCAGACTTAATTTCGTCGTGTTTCCTTTTTTTTTTTTTTTTTTTTTGCCACAATGACCATGCTAATATATATATATTTTTTTTTTTATTTAAGGTTGTTAACTTTTTTTTTTGTTTTAGTAGTAGGAATACGAAATGAGGCAAATAAGCCAAACGAACCAGAATCATTACTTTACATCATCATTATTATTTTCGCGCACACGAGCATAAAAAAAAAAAAAGGACATGTAATGAGATCATGAATGCACTTGGAAAACTTTTAGAAAATTTTCCATTTAAATTAATTTTTTTTTCCATTTTCATATTACAGGAATAATATACATATACTAATGAATATTTTATTAATATAAATAATTATTATTTTTTTTTTAAGGTGATCAAGGCACAAATAAATAATTTAACTTTTTTTTTTTTTTATCCAAGGTTTGTTATTTATGGATATTTTTATTATTATTATAAACAACAAAAAATTTTATTACTGAATTTTTTTTTTCTTAAAGAAAATAGTTAAAAAAAAACAAAAAAAAATGTCAAATTAATTTATTTAAATTAATTGACCTTTAAACGACACGAATTTTCTTTTACATTAACAGTAAGATTTTTTTCATTTAGGATTATTCATAAAGTTTGTTTTAGGATCATCATCAAGACTTAAAATTACAACAATTTAACAACAATATTTTGATAACAACGCCACAATTTAATTACAAAAATTTTTTTTAAAATGTAAACTCAGTGAAATTGTCATCAGAGAACAATAACAAAAAACATTTTTTTAATTTTCAGGTTGCTTTATAGAAAACATTAATAATTTTTCAATTTAACAATTTATCGATTATTCGTAGTTATTTTGAATAAGATATTAATGACCAATTAATAAGAAATTCGTTATTTACAATTTATAATTCTATCAAGGAAAACATTTATTAGCAATAAATTGAAAATAAAACGTCAGTAAACGGAATGAACAACAACAACAACAACAACAACGTGTTTTTTTCTTCCTATTAATTTTAATTTTTTTTTTGTTATGTTTACAAATCTAGATATAAGTTTACGTCCACGTGGGGTGTGTGTGTGTGTGTGTGCGTGGGTGCATTCACGTGTAATTATGAAAAATTTAAATATTTTAATTATTAACAATGAAAACGATATTATTATTATTACTTACGATAAATAATTTTTCCGGGTATTTTTATGTCGAAAAACGTTTGATTTATCGTGTGCCAATTGCGAATAGATTTTTTTTCGCCGAATTATTCCTAAATGTGTAAAAATATCAAAAACTAACGATGACCATATTTATTACATATTTAAAAAAAATAAATAAATAAATGAAACAATAACAATAACAACAACAACAAAGCAAGAATAATTTTACAAAGACATTTTTTTTTTTTTTTTACCAAAGTTTCTCATTGATGCGACTACATAGGTTGATGACGTTATTATTTTTTTAATCACCGACTTAATATTCATTTCTTTTTCTAAATTTATTTATTTATTTATTTATTGCATTTATTGATTTACATAAACAACAACTTAATTTTTTTTTTTTTTTTCAAAATGCCGGCCTGGTAAAACGTGACCATGTTTCTTTCGTACGGATATAAAAAATCGATTTTTTTAGCGCGCATGTGTACCTTATTTTTTTTTTAAATTTTAAATTCACAAATATTCAGTTAGAGGATATCAAAAAATGGCAGGAAATGAAAAATGCAAAAATTTCATGTTATTACGTGAAACAAACGACTGTATATACCCTATTTTATTTTACAATTATTTTTTCGTTTGTTGTAATATTAATAATAATAATAATGACAGGATGTGACGAAAATTAGACTCTAATAAAGTTTTAGCATTTAATTAACGTCAGATAATCAAAATTTTTTTTTTTTTTTTTTTTTTACAATCATCAATTATTTCATCGATGCGTGCGTTTTTTTTACAGATTATTATTATTATTATTTAATGTAAAAATCATCGTTTGTTGTTGTACTTGTAAAAAAAAAACATTAAATTAAATTTTAGATTAACGAAATGTGAAATTAATTATTGACCCAATAAATTTATTGTCAAAGTTACAAGATTATTATTATTATTATTGTAAAAAAAAAAACTTTAATCTGACATAATTAACGTCACGTTGTTTCTCTTTCTCTCTCTCTCTCTTTTTTATTACTATATTACCGTTTTCTCGCACACACGCACACGCACACGCACACATTAATAAAACGTTAAAAATTAAGTTAAAAATCACGATACTAATTAATTATTATTATTATTATTATTTTAATTTTTAGCACAAAGTAAAAAAGGCAAAAAAATTTTTTTTTTTTTTCCCCCTTTATTTTATTTTATATCAAGTATTATGTTTATTAATGACTAAAAATAATGGATAAATAATAATAATAATAATGTAATACTTGATATAATGGGGAAAAAACAAAAAAAAAAATTTTTAACTTTCCCCAGATTATTATTAACTTATTTATTTTTTACGAATTAGTTTTATTTATTTATTTATTAATTAATTAAGATTTTTTTTAAAACGATGTAAAATGTGTTGAATATTGATATAGAGTAACGTGCGTTTTTATTCTTACCTAAGTCGTGTTCTCAATAGAGAAATAAAACGATTTCGAGATGAAGGATGATATTGAGAACTGGAGCTCATCTCTGACTCCTTTAACGTAACACTTTAGACTGAATGCCTCGACATAATCAGTGAATGTGTTATGCGAGAAGTCAATAAGTCTCGTGTTGCGCTTTCGACGGTTTTTCATATATTTATATATAAATACATACATTCTTAATAAAGGTGGTGGCTAATTACAAAACTTGTTTTTTTTTTTTTTTTTCTAAATGATTTCCGGTTATAATGTAATCGATTAAAAATAATTTATTGAAAGGTATAATTTTTATATGAAAAATTTTTCGTGTTCTAACATTTTATCAACAGGTTTTCACACGTTAGTAAAAATTTATTTATTTTTGTTTATTTTTATTAAATTTTTTAAACGATGATATATCATATATTTATTTATCGGTTTGAAATGTGAGAAAACAAAGAAAAGTTTTCGAATGTTGGAATGAAAAAAGGGAGAAAAAATAATTTTTTATTTTTTTTTTTACCTATTTCGATGTCTTCATTCATCGTTTCGTTAAATGATTTATAGGTTTTTCACAAATGGAAAATATACACATGTACATGTTTAATGTCACACCTCCCACTACTACTACTACCACCACCACCACCCCGTCAACACAACTCACAGCCAACTTGTAAAAAAAAATTTACAAGTGTTAAATATATAACAAACAAAACAAATGAAAGTTTTCGAAAAAAAAAAAAAAAAAAATTTTTTTTTTTTTTTTATTAATAAATAGTTTTGAAATGATTTAAAAATTTTTTTTTCTTTCGTTTTGGGGTTAAATTTTTGGTAGTAAAAACTTTGAAAATTATGAGCCAATCCAATCAACCACCATCAAACCGAAATGTGGACGAATTTGATTTTTATTTCCAGTTCACGAAACCATTGGTTTTATATTTATCAACTCCCCGAAGGGTAAAAATCATTTTTATTAATGTTATAAATGGGTGTAATTTTCAATCATTATTATTATTATTATTATTATTACTACTGGCACCGTTATAAAATTAGGTCGTATAATAAAAACGTATCTTATGATTTACATGTTGAGCTTTGTTATGTAAGACTTTAAAAAAAAAAAATACGTTCGAGCCAAAAAAAAAAAAAATTTCATCACGTTCGTTTCAATCATTGTCGATTAAAAAAAAATTTTTTTTTTCGTTTTTTTTTTTTTTTTTTTCTACAGATAAAGCAACAGCGGCAGCATGGGTTCAAAAATTGGAAGCGGAGCCCCGTTCAGAAGAGGAAAAAAGTCTTCGGTTAGATTATTTAAAACTTTTGTTATTCGTATTACAAAGAGGTCGGTTAAGTGGAATTTTTAAGAAACAACCACCGGCAGGACCGTTGGAACCTTTTCCTCAAGGTTTTAACATAATGGAAATGGGAAATTTAATGATCGATCAAGATGATGCTCACGGTTGCGGTGGAGGAGATGCGGTAAATAAATTTTTTATTAAAAAATTATTATTATTATTATTATTTTTGACACACGTGGTTTGATGTCGTCATTAATTCATTTACACAGAGATTAGCTTCGTACACGATTGAAATATCAAACGATTTGAGAGAATTTATTGCCGCACAAGAAATACCAAATTTTGGAGTTCAAATGTATTACGCTTGGTCACCGGATGAACCTGTGAACAAATGGACATTGTTTGACGAAGAAAAATTTCCTCAGTATGTTTTAGGTAAGATGTCGAATGATTTTTATAAATAAATTTTACGAAAAAAAAAGAAAAAATTAAATTCTTTCGTTTGTTTCTTTTATAGATAAAATCAAGATGTTGAAAGAAATCAAATCAGATGATAAAACCGGAAATAGAAAAATTAAAAATATTTGCGATATACCGCTATTGGAAAAATTGGCAAAAACAAAAGGTTTGATTAAATCATTATTATTTTGTAAGTGTTTATATTTGAGAAAAAGTTTCAATTTAAATTTTTAAACTTTTTTTAGTTAAAAGCCCACAAGAAATAGAAAAATCTCAAGAAAGAAGTTATCAAACCTATGTTGGAACGGTCGAGCGAGGAGGTAAAAATTACAAAATATCGAAGAAACATTAAACTCTTAATTATAACACCCTAAAAAAAAAAAAAAAAAAAAAAAAAAACCCTTAAAAATTGATGTCAATGTCATAGTTTTTTTTAATAATAAAACCAGGGATTAGATTTAAAAATGCATGCGATGATGATCCTAATGGTCCATTTCAAAGAAGAGGTGGTGCACAATCGCAAACAAAAGATTGTGCGATTGCGCGGGGTAATTAAATTTATGCACAAAATCGAAAAATAATTTTTATTACTTAAAAATTATTCATTTCGATAATAGAAATCTTGGGCGATAGTAACATGGAAGAATGTTCTACTTTTATCGGTCATATATATCGTAACGTCGACTCTCGCCAAAGAGAACCCGCGGCAGGGTGTGCACAACCAGAAACAAGGAGTGCGGGACCATCTACAAGAACTGCAGCACCTTCGCCAAGATTTCCAGGACCTTCGCAAAGAAATACAGGACCTACACCGAGAGCGACAATGCCTGTAGGAAGAAGTGTTCCATCTGGATCAAGACCTACAGCGCCTGCATGTAGACTTACAACTCCTGTAGCACGAAGTGCAGGGCCTGCACCAAGAAGTGCAAGGCCCGAATGCACAACGGGATCAACAAGACAGTAAATGTTAAATTTAATAAAAATAAATAATTTTAAAATTAAACTATTTATTATCATTAATAATTATTTTTATTTACAAAAAAAAAAAAAGTTGAAATATATTATTAAAAATCAATAGTATATATACGGAGAAAAAAAAAAAAAAAAAGATAATTTTAAAATCTTATTCGAATTGATTTATTTTACACTATCTATTTTTTTTAAAAATTATATTTATTATTATTATTATTATTATTATTATTATTATTATTATTATTATTATTATTATTATTATTATTATTATTAAAACAAAAAAAAAAAACACTTTGCCAATATTTTCGGGTAAAAACAAAAGTTTTATTTTAAAGATGTATGCGTCAAGATTTAAGTGCGAATGCCACATACGGAGGATCGTCAATAAACGATGTTAGTCTCGATAGTGGTTTCGGTGGTGGTGCTTTTCGCCGATGGGCCGCAGGTAAAAAAAAAAAAAAAAAAAATTTAAAAAAAAAATGATTACAATCGGGACGGTTTCAATTAAATAAATTATTTAAATTTATTAGGGGCTTGCAGTACACCTTATCAAACAAGATCTCCGATGGAAGACATAGATACACCTAGAGAACTATTAACAGTAACGACAAATGAAATATTTATTAAATAATTCCTTATTATTAAAAAAAATTACAAACATTTAAATTAATAAAAAAAAAAAATTAATTTTTTTCGTAGACGGGTGCGGGATTACCGATTCACTATAATGAGGCAATGGAATTACCTCTACACGTGCCATTCAATTTAGAACCACGTATTTATTAATTTAAATCAATTTTATTACATAGTTATATGATTTTACAAAAGGTTGACGAAAATTAACAATTATTATTATTAGTTTCAGATATTCCCGATTCACCATTTCAGCCGGGAAATATAAGCGGGGCATCTTGTCCAAATGCGTCCACTTGTCCTTGTCCATGTCCTCGAGGAAATCGAATGCCGATGATATCAACTCCAGGTAAAAAAGGAATTTATAAAGTTTTTTAAACTAATATTATACTCCGTTGATTGAAAATTTTTTTTTTTTTTTTTCGTTGCGCTCCAACCTCAAGAACCCCAAAATGCGGGTGCTGGTGGTGGTGGTGGTGGTGGTGGTAATCAGGACAATGTTAGTTTTGGTTCCTTATCTCCCATTACCGCAGGAGGTAGTCCAAATCCAGCAAATTTAAATCTCAATATAGGCAGATTATCTGGTTTAACAGACGAATCGTGCGATGATCAAAATCCTGAACTTGAGGTTTCCCCTAAAACTTATTTAATTTTATTCCTTTTAAATTCTTTTTTCATATATATATATATAAATATAAACAAATGACAAAATTTTTTATTTTGATTATTTTTCAGCAAGCAATTTATTGTCCTCCAACCAATCAGGAACTTCAATTTAATAGAACACCACCAGGTAAAAACCAATTAAATAACAGAGATTTATAAATTAATTGTAAAAATTTTTCATTTTATTTTTATTTAAATTTTAGGACCCGGTGCCTGTAGTCAGCAGCCAACTCCAAATTCCAGTCCATTTAATAGAAGTTCAATGTTTAATTCACGTAAAAAATTAAAGGCATACCTTAAAGGCATTTTGAACCACATTATCATCATTATAATTACTATTTTTTTTTTTTTTTTAGTGATCACTTCTAACGAAAGACCATATCGTCCTCCTGTAACAAGTGGTAGAAGATTAAATTTTAATTCCTCTCTTCCAGGAAGAGATTCTATTGCGCCTAATAGACAATCCCCTCCAAGTAAAAATTTTTTTTTTCTCATCCCGACTATATTTATAATAATTTAAATTAATGAATTCAATTTTTTTTTTTTTTAGTTTTGGTGGGTGACAATTTCGCAGGAAATGCTCCAGATGTAAGTAATTATTGGAAAGGATTTGTGAATAACAATCACACAAATATTATTATTATTAACGGTGAAAATTAATTTTCAGGCATGTGCAGCTCAAAATCAACCTGCATGTAATGCTAATTGTAATGGGCCAGAAGGTATGTGATATTGGGTTAAAATAAATATTATTATTATTATTATTATTATGTAGCAATAAAAAATAACTTTTTTTTTTTTTTAGTTATAAATTTAAGACTTCCACAAAACGCCCATATGACACCTCAGGGTGCTTGCATAGAACTTCAGGAAGTTTGTCCAGGAGATGCTCAGGATGTTTGTGCAGATCCGGAAAATTGTATTGAAATTCAAGAAGTTTGCATTGATCCATCGAATATTTGTCAACAGTCTCAGGGAATACGTGAAGAGCCTCAAGATGAATGCATGGAGGGTCAGGACAATTGTTTAGAACTTCAGGAAGTTCATGTCGAGCAAACGAATGATTGTAATCCACCCAATGCCAACTATGATTACTTCGATCAGGGTGGACCTAACGATATTTATGAAGGTTGTGCCAATTCTGAACCAAACGATCCTTGCGAACGTGAAGTAATTTAGATATTTTCCCATAGAATTTGGTTTTTTAATAGTTTTTAACTTACAAAAAAAAAAAAAAAAAATTTTGTAAATTTGATTTTAACGATTTTCCTTTTTTTTTTTTTTTTTTTCTAAGGATAATGCCTTTGAGGGATTACAGGAGGTAATTTAATATATTTCTCTCATTCTTTTTTTATTAAAAAAAAATTTCAAATATAATAATAATGATAAATTTTCAGTTCGACTTAAACGATAATCAAATTCCTGGACTCCTGAATAACCGAATGAGTTACAATTTGCCACCAACTGGGTAAAAAAAAAAAAAATTATTATCATATTATTATCATTATTATCATCGATTTGAATGAACAAATGGAAATTTGTAATTAATTTATATTTATATATATTTTTCTTACATTTTAATATGAGTGGATTATTTTCAGAGGGAACCTTCGAACCGAAAATTATGCTAATTATTTTTCTCTGAGTGCACCACAAATGCGATTTAATACACTTGGTGGTGATGATGGTGCGGGAGAACAATGTTTCCAAGGACCACATTCAATTCCAAGGTCCGAAGGGATGCAAAACGGAAACGTGTCTTGCCCTCAAGTAAGATAATAATAATTAACATTTATTTGGAAAAATATATATGTATCTAACAAAAAAAAACTTTTTTTGTAGGCAAATGAAAACCAACCACAATCTCCAAGGAATCCCGTAAGGTAAATATTATTTATTTTTGGATGGATTCATAAATTTTTTTTTTTTTTAATAGTTTTTGATTATTTGTAATATTTGAAAATTAAAAATTAAAATTGATTATTATATACAATCGTTTCAGGAACAACGATCAACGTGATCGACGTTGTACTTGTGATTAAGAGAAAAATATAATTTGCACATGCCTGGAATAAAATTTTCCCACCTAAATTCTATTAAACCTATTGGTGGTTGAGGCTCTATTTTCAAAAGTTTCAAATATTTTTTCAATTGCGGTTTTTTTTTTCTTTTTAAATTTGTTTACAGTGATTTTATTAAATAAATAATTCGGAACTAAATTTTTCAAAAATTTATTTACTATTATTATTATTATTGGGAAGGGAAACGATTGTATGTTTTGTATACGTACATACAATCATATATTTATTTCAACAATTTTAATTATCCGTTGTTGTTATAAAAAAACCATAGAGTATAAAACTTTTTGTTCAAACATTTATTACTCTATGAAAAAGAAACTCCATTAAAAACTTATTTTAATCATGATTGCAATAAGCTCAGTGTTCCATTATATAATCAAATTATGATTATTTACAAGTATGTGTGATAAAAATTATTTATTGATAATTTAATAGGTAAAATATGAACAAAATGTCGTCCGAATTGAAATTTGAATATACTTTAAATAACGACAAACTTACAATCGAACAAAGACAATTTTACGAAGATAATGGATATCTCGTATTGGAAAAAATGATAGATCATAATTTGGTGAAAAAATGTGTGTACGTTGAAAAATATTATTTATATTATTAAATTACAAATCATATTACAAATTATAAATTTAACAATAACTTGGTAATTCTATCAAAAAATATATTTACAGTTAGTTGTATAAAAATTAAAATTTATAGTCAAATATTATTATTTACTATTTAGAAAGCTTTTTAATAGAATTTATTTTAAAAAAATATTCATTATACTAATTTTAGAGAAAGATTTAGAGATATATGCAATGGAAAAATTGATAAGGGTTCGATGACGTTAATGAAAGACATATCATTAGCTAAAACTGATGCCAAAGGAGAATATCTTTACAATAAAGTCCAAGACATTGTTTGGGATGAAATATTTTCTCAATATATCACCTGTGATAAGGTTTGAATATTTATAAAAATTTATTTCGATTTGAAAAAAAAAAAAAAAAAAAAAAAATTTTTTTAAATCGTCTAATTTTGATTTCGAATCTCTCATAGCTTTTGGATTATGTTGAATGTTTTACTGGTCCTAACATTTCAGCAATGCATTCCATGTTAATTAATAAACCTCCCGATTCTGGTGTAATGACTTCAATTCATCCATTGCATCAAGATTTGTATTATTTTCCATTTAGACCAAGTAATAGAATTGTAGGTGTGTGGACTGCACTCGAAAAAGTTACTGTAGAAAATGGATGTTTGATTGTTACACCAGGTTCTCATAAAACTAAACTACTAGAACATGGTTATCCAAAGGTATTTTCAAACACATAATATCGAAATTCACAAAAATTTTTTTAATACATAAATGTTGTTTAGTTATTTCTTTAAGTTTATTGAAAAACTTAATTAATATTTATTTAAAATGTTTTTCATATTTTCAGGATCAAGTTAATAAAGCTTATCATGGAATTATAAATCCTAAAGATTATAAAGTTGTTAAATTAGAAATGACAGAAGGGGATACTGTATTTTTTCATCCTCTTCTCATTCATGGTTCCGGGCCAAATATAACAAGGGTATGTATTTAAAAAAATTGATTACTCATTTAAAATTTGTTAAATTCTTAATTTTTTTTTTTTAAAAATGATTTTTACATTTGGGTGTGGAATATGGTAATTTATTTTCCTCTCATTTTACAGGGATTTCGTAAAGCAATATCATGTCATTATTCTACTTCTGATTATTATTTTGTCGATGTTAAAGGAACACTTCAGGAAAACATTGCAAATGAAATAATAGAAATGGCAAAAAAAAAGGGATTTGAATTGACGTTTTTTGATGTATGGAAATATCGATCTAGAATAGTAAGAGGTAAAGTTTTTTCTCAGTTATAATATTTAAACAATGCATTCTTGTAACACTCAACACTCACACAGTTACAAACATTCGAAATTGTTTCTACAATATTTATCGATAAAGAAAATATTAAAAAAATGTTTTAATGCATTTAATTGTTTTTGTTTTATAAAATATCATAATAATTTTATTTTTGTCGTTTCATCTGTATTTACTCCATTTAAATTTATATATATATTTTTATATTTGTTTTTTTAAATATTTTATTTTATAATAATATTTTATAAATATATGGTTGTTAAAAATACGTTCAGTATTTTATAAAATATAATTGTATTTGTTTAACTTTTGTATTCTGAATTTTAATTACTAATTAATTTTAATTATTATTTATATTTAAACAAAAAAAGTAATTTTCGATTGAAATAATTTTATTTTTATTTTGCAGTTTTCGTTTTAAAAAAATTTTTTAAAATTAATATTTAAAAATAATTAATGGTAAAACTTATAACTATTATGTTGGTATACCCGTGGGTTCGCGGGTAAGTTTTCTAATTCCACGTTTTTTTTAACGGATAATTTTTCGAAGTTGAAATTTTTTTTCTCTTTTAATTAATTGTGAAACATTTTTATTAGGTTTTCGAAAATATTATTGGTTTTTTTAAGTTTAAAAAACACAAAGTAAGCCAGCTAAATAAAAGTAAGTAATTTTTTTTATAGTTGGGTTTAAATTTTTATCAAAATACAATAATCGAAATCTTAAGTGTGTAGAATTTTTATTACGCAATTTTTTTGACAATATCGTTAAAACTTTCATATTAACGAATAAAATCTTTATTTAATAAATAAATAACAATAGATTAAATTAGGGGGGAAAAATAATCAATCCATTTCATTTTTAAATATATTATATATTTATATTAACGTTTTAAAATATTTCTTACATAAAAAAAATTTTCTTAAAACTATTAACATTTTACTACATTCAAAATATAACAATCAAGCATCTTAGTTACAAAAAAATATGGTTCAAAAAAAAATTTAAATTTGTACATGTAATTTTTTAATTTCGAAATTATTATTGGGTTGATTTCTTAGCATTGCGAATAATTGATGAAAAGATTTGATATCTTTGGATACAACGGCATCAACCAGAAAGTAGCACATGACAGATAATAAGCCAAAAGCCAGTGTACTCAATATTGCAATTAAGGTAAGTAAAAAAATTTTTTTACAACCTTTGTACCTGAAATAAAACGTATTAGAAAAATTTTTAAATAATAATATTAAGGGGTTAAAAACTTACTCGGTTTCCATTTTTATTTAGCTTCCAGCCCAGGAAAAAAAAAATTTAACCAACTGTTTTATTTTGATATTTCTTTTTCACAATAAGTAATGCAAATTTTTTTTTTTTATTATCAATTTTATCAATTTAATTAAGTCAAGTAAATTAAAAAGTAAATTTAAACTATTATTAGAATAATCCTTGTGATTAAACTGATAAAAAAAAAATATCAAGTTTATTAAAAATTTATTTACTTTTATTATTAAATAATTAATAATTTTAAAATCTAATAGAAAATATTTTAAATTTATATTTTTTATAAATAATTTTTATTTAAATATTAAATATAAAATTTCTTTTTAATTAAAAAAGAAGAAACATAAAATTTTTGATAAAAATCTTAGAAAAAATGATAGATAAGGTATCATTTACAAAGAAAAAATTTGCTGACTAATAAACATTTTAATATTTATCTATAATTATATGCATTTTAAAATCGAAAAACATTTTATTTAATTTATAACTCGAGTATGAAAACTAAAATTTAATATTTGAAAAAATTAATGAATCAGAAATAATGGAGAATAAGTTTTAAAAATAAAAACTTTTCCACATTCTTTTTTTTTTTTTAAAAAACATTTGGATTCTTTAATTTAGAATTATAACAATAAATTATGATAATAAAAATAAAGCAAAACCCATCAAATTTTTATTATATTATTTGTAAGAATATGATTCTTTTTTAAGTTGTTAACTTGGTTTTAAAAGTAATATATTTATAATATAAACACAAATTAAATTTCAATAATAATATTTGAGTAATTTAAAATGATTTTTAATTGAAAAATAATATAAAATTATTTGTACCTAAGTTTGAATAATTTCATGTTTGGAGTACAACTTGTGGAGTTTCTCCATAACAATGTTTTGCACGAGGATCTCTGTATGAATTTTCATGGTGAACGCTTTGAGAATTTGTTCTGCATTTTGCCAAACATAATTCAAAATGATCACTTACAGATGCAAATAAAACATTTTCTGATTCTTTACCAAGTACATTTTGTAAAACTCCTTTCTACAAAAAAAAAAAAGAAAATATTATAAAATGTATGTAAATTGTTAATATTTTAAAAATTGGGAAAGGAATTCGAAAGTACCTTATCTGGATGCAAACAGCAGGAAATGCAATATTCATATATACTACAGCATCCATTATCTTTGCATGTATCACAGGCAAACTTTTTGGTATTCTCAGAACCAGTATTACAACATCCTGAAGACAATAAATCAGATCTTGAACAAACATATCCTCTATCATCCACAATAAGAACTTTGCCCTGTACTGAATTTCGGCAAGTTACCATTTTGGAATTAGTTAAATTCACATCATTTTCCGAATGCCAAAGAAATGAATTGGTTAATTTTTTCTTTATTGAAATAGAATTACTGTCATGTGAAGATAATTCTGTAATTTTCTACAAAATTAGAAAAAAAAATTTTTTTATTATGTTTATACTTCAAGTCGGTATCTTTGTGTATTATTATTTAATTACTAATGATTTTAAATACAGTGGAAGGAAAATGTAATGTTTATATATATATATTGAAGCATTATTAAGGTTAATGAATTTTTTAAACGTTTTTAGATTGTAATTTATTTACTTTTATAACGTTAAATTAATTATTTAAGGAAAAAATTTAAATCAAAACATTGATTGAACCGCGTGCATTTAAACTAATTAATTACCTCCTGCCATAAGCTAAATACGCAGTAAGTTAACGACAATGTAAATATTAAAGCTAACACAATTCTTTTTCTTATTATTCTCAATAAAAAAGATGCCCACATTTAGAAATAAAATATCTGTTAAACGAAATAAATATAAAATTTACTTTTAACATCATGTTCTAGGTATGTACTATTTAACTACCATTTTAAAAATGGTGGTGCTCATAAGTTATAAACAAATACAATATACGCTTGTATTATATGTAGTTAAACAGTTTACCGTAAACAGTTATTGAATTAATTTTTTAAAAATATTTTTTTATCATTTAAAACTATCAAAATGAAGTTTTTTAATTGATAGGTATTTGCATAGAAAGTAAAATATTCATAATGTTGTGATTCAATGTATACGAGTTATGGAGAGAGGAAAGAATTCACAATCGAGAGGAAAAAGCAAAACTCAGCATTTTCCAGCTGATTTATTTGCTTTAGGAACAAAATCATCTGGAAATGACTCCAGTAAAAGGCCATTAAGTTCGAGTATGATAATATATGTTTTTAATGTGGTACCTAACCTCATTTCATATTATTTAGATCGCGTTACACCTTTTGATTATGAACTTTTTATTCTTTTAGATTCATCGGAAAGAAAAAGGGAAGCACCTAATCCTCCTAACATACCAATTTTATCAAAGAAAGCTAAAGTTGTTGGTACACCAACAGCATTAGGATGGTCATCTAGTGGATCTTCTCCCACAACATCTGCACCTAATAATGGAAGTTGGGAAGCTGTAGCTGTTGATGTGGAACCATCTGAAATTGTTCATGTCGTTTTGGATGCTTATCAAGCTGGACAAACGGAAAAAGCTGTAATAAAATTATTATTATTATTTGTATTGAATTTTATTAAAATCAACGATAGTAAAATTTAAATTTAGTGTACTTATTGACTGTAAAGCATTTAAAAGATTTTTTTGGTAAATTTGAATTAATGTTTTGGGAAAAAATTTTGTTTCAGGCTGGTTTTATTTGTGGTGCTATAAAAGCTTTGAAAAATAACAAGTGGAAACCTGACTTGGTAACATTAGTTGCTTTAATATATCTGGCCAAACTAAAACCTTCTCTATTTTCAGTTGATGTAGTGACACAAGCTTTGTCATTACTATTGAAAAGAGATCCTCAATATAATTTCAAGGTAGGAAAATAATTAGAATTTATAAAAGTTAGTCGAATACATGTTTCAGTTGTTTTATCGCTTGAAACTCTTCTTCAATAAAAAATTCTTGCATCTTAAAAACTATGCATTTTTTTTTTAGAGTAAAGGCAATCCAACAGTTTCTATATTAGCCTGCAATTTACTATTAAGAGGATATCAAGACCAGAAAAATTGGCCTACGCATTTTGTAAAACTTTATGTTGAAGATGCCATGTCTGAAAGAGTTTGGGTTGATCAAGTAGAATGCAAGGCATTTGTAAACAACATAATCACTGCTTTTAACACCAAAGCCCCTTCTGGAAATATTAACTTAATAGTTCCGGAATTGGGTCCTCTAGGGATAGCTCGATCTGAGAGTCCTGTTACCGTAGCCATTGAAAATGAAGATGAAAATTCATCGAGCGCTTGTTCGAGTGACGTACCCGCGATACCAAGGTATTTAAATATCTCCGAATCAATCGAGCAAATAGTAATGGATACTCAAGCTACAAGACGCCAGACACCGGAGAGCGTGACGAGAAATTATTTAAAATTGTTATCATCAGCAGCTGGTTTGCCAGAAATACGCCTTTTGGCATCACCACGTTTGGAAATTTGGTTGCAAAATCCTAAACTGATGAAACCAGCTCAAGAACTTTTACTCTACACATGCATTAATTGCAAAACTCATTCTGCCAAAGATATTCAAGTAATTGCATGCCTAGCGAAAATTCGCCTTAAAACAAAAGCTTTAATTAATTTTTACTTGATGTGTATTAAAGAATTGATTAATGCACATCCCGATAATTTATCTACGCTTTTAAAACATACCATTTACAATGAATTATCGACTTCTAGAAATCCAAATAACATGGCTATGATCGGTGTCATGTTTCAAGTGCATTCTGAACTTTCTGCCACATTATTAGCCGATGTTTTTTTAGAGTTATTATTAAATAGAGACGATTACCACAGACCTTTAAGAACTTTATTAAGAGAAATAGTGAGAGTTTTAAAGCATGATATTAATTTACTTGAATTAAGTCGAGGTCTCATGGCTGACAAAAAAGAAAATCCAACTTTTAAAGATTTTGAATTTAAGGATCGGATGTTTTACGCCGTCATAGACTTAATAACGCTGTCATGTTTCTTAGGCGTGTCTCCGGCTGTCAAAGAAAGCGTGAATTTAATCGGAAGAGGTGATAAGAGAGAAATTCAAACTTTAATAAATTATCACACAATGGTTTCTAAAATTCAACAGGAGACGGTAGTGTGGTTAAAAGATCAAGTACCTAAAATTTATAGACCGAATGGACCGGAATTTCTCCATGCCTTGCATAAAGTTTTATTTATGGAACAATTAGACACTTATTATAAAATAGATATGTGGCCTCCAGAATCCGAGAGGACGCTTTTATTAAGATTGTCGTCCGAATCTCCTATTTGCCAAAACACACTTATAAACGTTTTATTTTTGGGACTTTCCAAAGAACATCCCATCACGGCCCCGGATGCCTTAGAACTTGCGGATCAATTAGTGAAAAGAAGTGCTTTACTCTCCGTTGAAGGATTAGAAACTCTTCACGCAGATAAAACGGAAATTTTCGAAATGGTATTTAATGTGACTGCGTATCATCATCCAGATATCATCACTTTGCCTCAAGGATATTGTCCTCCGAGACTTGCAATATCTAATCTTTATTGGAAAGCGTGGATAATGCTTTTATTATTAAGTGTACACAATCCGTCTTCTTTGGGTTCCATTGCATGGGATAAATATCCGATGCTCAGAATGTTTATGGAGATGTGTATAACAAATCATTTTTCGTATCCGCCTCCAACTATGAACGTAGTCGAAAATGCAGAAGATACCAAAGCTCAAGAATTAAGACTAACTGCTCATGAAAAGGAAAGCATTTTGGAATTTGAATCTCATTTAGCTGCGGCGTCTACAAAAGCGACTATTACGGAGCAAACAAGTTTGCTGCTGTCGCAGCTAATAACTATGGATCCTTTGGGTGCTGCCAGAAAACCTCCTGTCGGAGTTTTAGAACAGCTTGCTGCTCTTAATTCTACTCATAGGATGGGTCATCTTTTATGCCGATCGCGACATCCGGACTTTTTATTGGATTTAATTCAACGTCAAGGAGCATCACAAAGCATGCCGTGGTTGGCCGATCTTGTCGAAAGTAGTGAGGGTTCTTTAAGTCATTTGCCTGTGCAATGCTTGTGTGAATTTCTCTTAAGTTCGAGTCCTTCGGATAAACAGAGTAAAAGCCAACAATTAATTAGTCATCTTCAACAGGTATTAATAGATCCCAATCAAGAACCTACGGCTCCTTGTGAAGTTTTAGAATACTTATTAAGAAGACTTAGTTCTCCACATATGAATAGTAGAACTCAGGCTATAAAAGGATTAAAGCTTGTTTTATCTTCCGTCAGCGATGAACATACGAAAATCGATACACAAAGTCAGGATAATTCATGGTTACTTAGACAGTTACCTTTACTTCCTCACTTTTCAAGTGTCCGCCCTCAAGTCATATCATCTCTAAGACAGGCTTGTCAAGTGGAAAATGATCCTGTTTGCATCGGCAGTTACATTACGTTTCTCGCACTTCATACTGCTGATGACGATTTAACGTCACTTGGTCACTTGGTTCAAGATATGGCTCAATTAATAGTCGAACGCAGCACCATAATGTCAGCCATAATGCCTTCCGGAACAGGTGATCTCGACAAAGCAAATACTCTTCACTCATTGACAATAATATTTTGCGCATATTTACAAAAAGCTAGGGAACCACGCAAGGATAATTACACGTGGTCTGAGAGTCAAGATCAGATTTTGGTCACTTGGAATACTGGCGAAGAAAGCACGATGCACATACTTGTCGTACATGCCATGATAATATTACTAAGCTACGGCCCGGCAAGTGATCCCAGTTTATTTGCAATGCTTTTGGAAACATGGTTTCCCGAAAAGGGTCCACCCCCAAAGGCGTATTTAGTCGATACTTCAGAAGAAGCTCTTCTTATACCAGATTGGTTGAAATTAAGAATGATTCGATCCGGGGTTGATCGTTTAGTAGATGCTGCTTTAATCGATTTGGATGTTCCGCAGTTAGTTTTGTTTATTCAGTCGTTTGGCATTCCAGTTTCATCCATGAGTAAACTTTTAGAAACTCTTGATCGCACAGATGCATCTCTAGTAGCAGCGGCTGTGTTCGACAAAGCTTACATGGCTCAATTGGTGCAAGTACAAAGACGAAGAGGAGCAACCGGAGGTCAGAAATTCGTTCAAGCTCTTAAATTATCCGACGAGACAGTTTCCGAGCCCATGGATTCTTCTGAACCCCTTGATAAGCCCACGCTAAATTTAACCGAATCACTTTCACTTCTACCTTCCACCGAACAATTACAACCCTCGAATGCTCTAACCTTGTTGGATAATATTTTCGACGGTAAAGAAACCCCGGAGTTTAGAAAGTCCGCCGTGAAAAAATTGCAAATAATGTTGCTCATGGAGACAAAAGTGACACCATCTAAAATTCAGTGTTTCAGTGATATAGTGAAACGTTTATTGATTTTAAGTGATCCCGTCAACAATGTTTCCGACATGACCAACTGGTTAAGCGAAAATTCAACTTTAGCAGCCGTGCTCATAAGACTTTTATGGAAATTAAGCAAACTCATGCCTGGTGACGTGAAGAAAGATTTTATCTCTTATTGCGACAACATTAAAACCTTATCGAAGAGTGAAATCCCCGTACTCTCGCATTTGATAGAAGAAATCATAAATGACGAAGCCAAAATGCAGAAGAAAAGAAACGAACACGAATTGAAACCTGAAAAATTGGTAGAAATAATTTTAAACACGACGGAAGAGAAATCCGAATGTTTCGGTCAATTGATCGATTGTTTAGTTTCCATCGAACCTGAATTAATCAGCTCGAGGAGTGAAAAAGAGGTAAAAATAATTTCCAGGGGGGTGTAATTACCTCGCTGTCGATGTACTCATGCAAGTACCGATTTCTTTTTTTTTTTAGATGATTAAACTTTTATTTGGAAAATCTTATAAAATTCAAGAGAAGGAAGATAGGATAGATGCAGAAACTTGTCGACCCTACCTTTTGACGTTGCTCACGCACAGAGCGAGTTGGGGAAGGCTACAAACATGCGTAGATAATTTATTATTCAAGTAACGGAATTCACCTTTTTAATAAATATTTTCTTAAGGTACAATAGGTGGCAGACAGTGTTAACTTTTTTTTTTTTTTTTTGGTTTTTTAGATTCGAGAAGCATTTTTCCGCCACGTCGGTTTTAGATTTTTTAGAAGCTATGACAAGGAATCCTAGGCTTTGGCAAGGACGAGAAAAACGTAAACCGAAACATTACACTCCGGAAAGCGTTTTATGCTTGCAAGAAAGTCAGGTACTTTAATTTAAGTAAAAGTAAACAAAAAAAAGAAAAAAGAAAAAAATTTATTTACGTTTTACTTTTTTTTTTAGGTTTTGTGCATGGTGGATTACATAATAGAAGAAGCGAATGATGCCGTCGAAGATAAAATCCCTGTGAAAATTCATTCGAACGAATGCGACGAAGAACGTAGACCGATATTTTTAGACACATTGGAATCCAGGCTACCCATATTGTTGGAAGTTATGGATGATAAATATATTCCAGGCGTTTTACGAAAGTTGTCTTCGAGCACATCGGAAATATCCGAGTGTGTATATTTAATTCTACTCTCTTTTTTTTTAAAAAAATTTTTAAAACTAATTTTTTTTTTTAGATCCCGAACGGAAATCTGTAAAAATTTACTCGTACTTTTTTATTTTCACATTCCCGGAGTTATTAAATATTTATTTGGTACGGATGAAGAATCTCTTTTGAAAAACACGTCGATATCAGGTTAGGAAATTGAAAATAATTTTTTTTTTTTGTTACGCCGCCGCGCAAAAACCTTAATTTTAAATATTCTGGAAATCGTCGTTTGTTAAAATTTTCAGGTTGGAGCAGTAGCGCTTTGGATAAAATATCTCACACTCTCCTGACCGCCATGACAGCAAATACGATAAATGTAAAAGATTGGTGGAAAAAATCTCAAGATTTTGAATTGGCCGCAAGGAAAATGGCCGTCGTTCATCCCGCGCTCGTATTGAGGTAACGAATCGTTTACTTTTCCACACGCAGGAAAAAAAATAAGGAAATAAATAAATAATGAAAAAAAATTATTTTCAGGCAATTGCCGATGATAGCAGCTTCGTTACAGGGACGCGTTCATCTCGATTACGTCGTTTTAAGAACTAGAAATCATATCACGGTGTTTTCACAAGTTTTAGGTTTGATTGAATTACTTCAACCGAAAATATTTTCGCGACAGTACTCGACGTCATTGGATATAACTTTGGATGCATATCTAACGTTGTTTAAAGTGAGTTGTTGTCACGCATCAAAATGAAAGTTTTGAACGACAAGAATTTTGATTTTTTTTTTTTTTTTTTTTTTTTAATTTTTCCGCTCAGCTTCACGGTCACATGAAAGATGTGAGTCCGATGTTATCCAGATTCGTAACATTTTTACAAAATTTCGTGTCCCAAGATGCTTCGAGAGCTATGAAATACTTACAAGCGAACTCTATGACGTTTTCGTAAGTTCAAAAAAGTATCCCACGTGAAAATGATGAAATGATAATAATAATAATAATAAAAATTTTCACACGCGTCACAGGGCCATACATAGAATTCATCCGGATCTATCGAGTTTGCAATCTTTGTTTTCTGGATTGTTATCGTCGAGGGACGAAAATGGGGAGGATGCGGAAGTTATACAAAGTGGTTCCGTGAGTTCGTCCATCGACATCGTTTCGAAACCGCCGTCATCGATCATAAGCGCGTTGTCTAAATCCCAAGGAGAAGGTAAATATGGGATAAAAAATGAAAAAAAAATTTTGAAAAGAAAAAAGGAAATGAGTAATGACGTCATAATCGTTTGTTTTTTTTTCAGACATACTTTCCGCGTTACAAGAATTGGATCATTTGTCTGCGAGAAATCCGGCCGTCCTCGAAGTTTTAATGGAACCCATATCATCTTTGTTACTCTCACCCTACGGTAACATTCGTAGTCTTTCTCACACTCTTTTGGCCAGGCTCATGAAATACAATCCTCAAAGCAATGCCGTCATCGGTAAGACTTTAAAAAAATTTTTTTTTTTTTTTCGGATACCTCTTCAAAGGTTTTTGAAAAAATGAAATAAATTTCAGGGTATTTACGGTGTTTGGAAAGCTGTCAGGGTGAAATAGTCATGACCGCGTTGGAAAAACTACCGGACATGGTACTCAGTTCTCAGGGTAAGTCGATTTCAATATATAAAAATTTTATATTTTTTAAAATTTAAAATCATAACGGAAAAGGGGGTGGGGGGTCACCTTTTTTTTTTTTTTTATAGAACACGCGAGTTTACTTTTAGAAAAGGTTTTTGCACTGGGAGTAAGATCTAGTACGAGCACTTTAAGTTACATAAATAAAGCCATCGGACTCCTTAATTTACAATCAGGTTGCTGATAATAAAATCAATCAATCAATCAATCAATCAATCAATTATAATTATTATTATTATCTCGAATTAATTCTAAAAATAATAATATTAAATAATTTAATAATCGTTTCTATATTTTATTTTTCTTTCTTTTGAATGACGGCGTGAGTAAATAAATGCTCCATTTTTATTCGATAGCGACAGAGACAGAGAGAGGGGGGGGGGAGAGAGAGAGAGAGAGAGAGAGAGAGAGGGAGGGAGAGAAAAAGAAAGAGAGCCTACGTTTTTTTTTTTTTTGTTAAATTTAAAAATTTATTTATTATTTCCTATTTATTTATTTATTTATATTTATTAATTAAATAACACTAAATAATAATTGTAAAACGATGAATGATTTATATTGATATTTTTTTTTTTTTTTTTTTTTAATCGGGCGTGTGGGGAGGTTCTTGACTAAAATAAGGTGCTATTTCTCTATTTAAAAGTGTATGGCATACTTGACAAACTTTGGATTCTCTTTTACGTGGTCCGCTCGTGACGGTGTAAGAAAGACAATTGTAACAAAATATTTGTCCGCAGTGACGACAGTGATCCTTGACAAAAGAAAAAAAAAAAAAAAAAAATTAAATTAATAAGCCCGTCACGTGATGCATACGCGTGATGTCATCGCGACGTCATCGCAACACGTCACATTTTCCATTTACTATTCATCTAATTACCTTTTTCCTACTTGCGGAAAATGTAATTTTACAATTTGGACAATCTTCTACGTCATCCTCGTGTTGCCATCTCACTTCCGTATCCGCTCCTCTTATTTTTTCCAATTCGATTTGCAACGATTGCGAAAGTCGGACGAAATCTTTTTGCACCGCCTCGCTCGTATCCAATTGCTGTTGTAACGAACTCACTCTGCTCTGTAATTTACTTATCGTTTCTTCGGACGAACGCTGTAAAAAACAAAAATTTACAAACTCTCAAAACAAACAAACAAACGAGAAACAAACGAAGGAACAAACAAACAAACAAACAACTCACATTTTCTTTCATTAATTTATCCAATTGCGTTTTCAATGCTCTCATTTGTTCTTTTTGTTCTTTATCCAAAGCGTTCAATCTCCCGGCTATTTCTTTCAATTTATAATTTTCTTTTTCCGTCACGTTTAATAATTTACTTAAACGAATAATAATAATAATAATAATTAATTAATTAATGAAAATTTTTCCGCCATATTGAAATTATTATCATCATCATCAAAACTACCGGTAAATACCTTAATTCAGAATTTTGCAATGCTAAATCGCTTTCTTTTGCATTTCTCTCCGACATTTCGCTATTCAATTGATCTCGAAGCAATTGTATTTCGTATTTCAAATTCGTTTCCTGTTCTTCTTTGGCTTCTTTTGCCGTTTTCGCGGATATCAATTCTTCGTGAGTTTTCAACAGCAAAACTTGTAAATCTTCGACGTTGTCGGGAAAATTAATCGATTCCTCTCTCAATTGTGCGGAATGACGACTGTGTTTACCAACGAGATTATCATTTTCCCTTTGGATTTCTTCCAATCGACCGTATATTTCCTTTCTGTCGAAAGCTAATCTATTCAATTGTATTTCGACTTCCGATCTCAAATGAGCAAACGTTTCTCTCATCATTTTTATTTCCTTTTCCGATCCTTCGTATAATTCTTTTAGTTCCGCAACCTGAAACAATTCAATGAATGAATGAATGAATGAATGAACGGGTCTTAAGCCCAAAAATGTATCCACAGTTATCCATCATCATCATCATCGAGACGACTCTAACCTTGGCTTTATGTTTTTCCTTTTTCTCATTCCATTTATCCTCCATGTTTTTTCTAAATTGTGTTTCTCTCGTAAAATCATCCTTTAATTTTTCCATATTTTTTTCCATTTTTTCCTTTTCCTTTTGCAATAATAAATTATGCTTTTGTTGCGACACGAGTTGAGCTTCGTAATTAGCACACATGTCACAGGATGATAGTTTTTTTTTTTTTTTTTTTATCATCAAACCGCTACCACTTGCTAATGACTTGAGCTCCTTATCGTTATCATTATCATTATCATTATTATTATTATTATTATTACCATTACCATTACTACTACTAATACTTGATTTCAAATCGTCGTTTTCTTCCTCGTGTCGTCCTTTCGTTGCATTACATTTCATTTGACTTGAATGGTACCTTTCTTCTTCTTCTTCTTCTTCTTGTTGACTAGCATCACGTGATGATGATTTTTCATCTCTTTCGTTTATATCCGTTGAATTAGAGTTGACATAATTTGTTGTTGTTGTTTTATTGGGGTTGGGTTCGTATTTTAATAACTTTGATTCTGCTGCTTGGAGTTTTTGCGTTAATTCTAATATTTTTTCTTCTAATGGAATCACTAGTGATTTCAATACTTCCGTATCTTCTTGAGCCTTAAAATGTAAATTAATGTATATATATATATATACAAAATATCAAAAATGAGTTTATCTCTCTCTCTCTCTCTCTCTCTCTCTCACCTTTTTCATACTATCCTCCAAATTATCATGTATTCGATAATCTGAATCATTACCCAATTGTCCAACCACTTTACGAGCTAATGTTTTTGCTCCAGATAGCATATTACTTGGTGCTAATAGTAATCCTTCTTTTTCTTTTTCACCTTTTAATTTATTTAATTGTGATTCAAGTAATTCAATTACTTGTTTTAATTTTTTCACTTCGCTTTGGGATGTGTTCGAAACTTGTACAGTATCTGTAAAAAAAAAAAAGATAATTTTCGATTGCAGCCATGTTGTATTGTCGTACATAATTACATAAATGATAAAAATATACCATTACCATGTACTATTTGATTCAGTGTAGCTATTTCAGCCTGAGCTTTTCTTTTTTCAGCTTCAACTTCATTTTCTTTAACAATTCCAGCTATGCATAATTGACTTTTAGCTTCATCTAATTCTTTGGTCAATTTAATAACTTCACACTCTAATTTAACATGTTGAGACGATAAAAGATTTAATTCTTCTTCTTTTTGAATGTATAACTTTTGAAGTCTACCTCTTTGAGCATTAAACTTGTCATGTATTTCTTTTTTTTCCTTTTCCAATTCCGTTATTCTTGTCAATAAATTTTGCAATTGTAAATGAACGTCTAAAAAATATCATTGGAGAGAGAGAGAGAGAGAAAAAAAACCAAAAAAAAAATATTTACACATGATTTTCATTTAAAATAACAATATACATTTAGATGCATTAAAAAATATTACATTACAGTTAGTAGGATTCAACTTCTGGGTAAGTCTGAAAGTCGTCATACAGCTTTTAACTTGTATTTTAATTACAAATCAATGTTAATGCTCTCTGTAATCATATTTAAAAAATTTTAAAAAAAAAAAAAATAAATAAATATGAGGTAAAATACAAAAAAAAAAAAAAAAAACTAAAAAAAGAAACTATGTGCGATTCCAATATATATATGTATACAATATTTGACCTTTAATTTTTTAAATTAACCAGCCTATTGTTTAATTACAACTTTTCAGACAATAAAAAAATTTGCGACATTGTTTTAAAAAAAAAAAACAAAACATTAATTATAAAATTTACATTGATTTTTTTTTATCATAATATTAATTGATTCTTTTATTAATTAATACATTTGGTTAATAAACAAAACATTTTATCGAGAGGGGAAAAATATTTGTAAATAATTTATTCGTAACGACTGAAACATGATCATTTCGAAACGACAATGACAACGACAAAAATTTAATGCATCTTTTACACAAATTTTATAAATAAAATTAAAAATAATAATAATAACTAAATAAATAATTACTTAATATGATCACAATGACATGAGCAATTACTGGAAAAAAAAAAAAAAAAAAATGATTTCTTCATATATATTGCAGTTAATTTCGGCACTCCCTATATAAGTTGCACAGCCAATGATAGAAATAAATGATTTAAAGCTGTTAAAATGTTTTTTTTCTATTCTTTTCTATTCTTTTTTATATAAAATTCAATGCAAAGCAATAATTAAATTCTTTTCTATGAAACCCACTAGCAAAGCAAAGCAAAGAAGCAACAAGCTACAGCTAATAATAATAATAATAATAATAATAATAATTTAAGAAATTAGTAATTAAATTAAAACATGATAGATGTATTTTAATATATATATAAGTTTTTCCATCAACCAGACAAAGCTAAAAAAAAAAAAGAAAAAAAATAAAAAAAAAAAAAGATAAAAAGCTTTATAATATTAATAAATATATGTTTATAATAATTAAATCTACTTTTCTGTTAATAAAAAGCAAAATTTTTATTATATTTTTTTTTTTTTTTTTTTTTTTAAAGCAACTAAATATAATTAAAAAATAAAAAGAAAAAAATGATAAGTGAATTAAATTAATAATAAAGTGGTGGTAAGAAGAAAACAAACATACCGTTATCAGTGATTTCGTTATTTAATTTTGATTTTGTTTCATTCGATTCAATAGAATTTGACATTTTTTTTATTTTTATTTTTAATAATAAATAAATAAGAGGATATTTAAAATAAATCAATTTTACATATATATATTTGCATAATTAAATTAATAATGATTTAACGTGATGAGTTTTATGTAATTTCATTTGTACAACCAATCATTACTTAATTAACGTGTCAGAAGATTAATTCGATCTTACGATCTTGTCGTGGCACTTTTTTTCAAATTACCACTTACAAAAATAAATAAGAATTTTGACTAGGTGTGTGTGCGTTATATAAAATATTTTAAAAAAAAAAAAAAAGTTATGCGTAATTTATGTTTTTTATCTTTTGTAAAATTTGCTATTATTAATTATTAAAAGATAATTCAAATGAAATTTTTTCTAATTATTCGTATAAGATGATAAAAATGCATTTCAAAATCGAAAAATTTGTAACATTTAACGGTTATTTTAATAATTCTTAAAATTTCTCTATGACTAATTATAATAACGTTCACGGTCGAATTTTTTTTTTTTTTTGGAAAACTAAATATGACATTATAGTAAATTCGATATTGAAATCTCAAAGATAAATAGATAAATATATTATTAATTTTGAAGGTTATTACTATAATATAAATCAAATTAATATTTTAAACGTATAAGGTTATTCTTGTTCGAAATAACAGGTTTCGTCCCACCTTATTTATTTTCACAAAGTCTATTAAACAACATTTTGTACTTTTATTTTAAAAAAATCAACTTTTTACAAATAAAATTTATTAAAATAACTGTGAAAATTTGTTTTTTTTTTTTTCAACGTAAGTTTAAAACACCGTTTTACCTGAAATATAATGATTCATAAAAAAATTTTATCTTTCAATGATGATGATAAGACTTTAACATTTTTCAAATGAAAAAAAAAAAAAAAAAAAAATTTTACAATGTAAATCATCATTATTTTCTTCTCTCTTCTTCATACTATTTTATTTAAAGTTATATTAAAAAAAAAAAAAAAAATTCTTAATAATGTGATAAGTTTTACAATATATATATATAAATTTATTTATAATGATGATTATGTTTTGTGTGTTATGATTACCATATTTTTCTTTATTTTATTTTTATTGTATATATATATTTAATAAAATACAAGTAATAATAATAATAATAATTAATGTGTTGTGATAGTGTGTGTCGTTGTTGAATTGAAAAAAAAAAAAAAAAATGTGTCTAGAAAAAAAAAATAAATTAATTCATTATTATTATTATTATTATTTTATAGTAATATTAATAATTGTATTCACGTGTAACGACATAACCCTAATTAATTGTTTAGAAAATGTTAATAAAAAAACATTTTATTACGATGTTGATAAATTATTAATTAATAATAACAACGATACAGTTAATAATAATAATAGTAGTGGTAAAATCGAAGGTGATGATGATGATGATTACGTAGAAATAAATGAAAATTTTACGTGGCCTATCGTAGCTAAATGTTGCCAATTAGGTTTTGGATATTCTTTTGATACAAAATCAACCTGTATAGAAACAGATGACGAGTTTATACCTGATTTCGATGATCGTCCTGATTATTTAGAAACGGCTAAAGAATTACCGATTGAATCGAGGTACGAATATTACATTGGAGATCCTTGTTACGATGGAAAGTAAGTTTTATCATTATCATTATCATTATCATTACTTTTTCTTTCTTATTTCTAATATTTGTTGTTGTTGTTATCAGGTATATATTGGATGGATCTACGTATTCGTACGACGATTATAAAATATATTCAAACGGAAGTCTTTTATATCTCGATGATGTTTATGATAAAGAAGAATTTTGTATGGAAACCGTTAATTCCACCCTGAGAGTTTTCATTTGTTTTGGTATAATAAATCAAAAAACAGAATTTAAAAAAGATTTTAAATTTATTTTATATGCAACAGGTTTGTAGGTTTGTTTGTTTGTTTTGATAAAAAGAACATAAAGGAAAACCTTAAATTTTCCAATCGTTTTTTTTTTGTTTACATTTTAGGATTGTTAATATCAGTGCCTTTTTTATTAACAACAGCATTTATTTATTTAAGTATTGATTTATTAAGGGATTTACGTGGGAAATCATTATCCTGTCACGTGATTTGTTTGGCAATCGGTTATTTATTTTTAGCACTCGTACAATTATTTTCAGATCAATTAAACGAAGAGATATGCATTGCATCAGGTGAGATATTCGAACTCGCCATAATTTCCAAAACCCAACGAATAAATATTATTATTATTAATAAATTTTCAGGTTTTCTCATACAATATTTTTTCGTATCGGCATTTTTTTGGTTGAATGCAATTTGTTACGATACCTGGCGTTGTATAAAAAATGATTTTTGTTGCATATACAAACCGATAAATGTCAAATCTGAAAAAATAATGTTTTGTTACTACGTCATCTATGCATTTTACGGTCCTTTAGTACTTTCGATAGTATCATTAATTATGGATTTGGAACCTACCATACCTGAATCATATTTAAAACCACATTTCGGATTTCATTCTTGTTGGTTTTACTGTAAGTTTTTACCCTTTCCTATTTATTTATTAAATTAAAATTTGCGTATTTTTATACATAATAATAATAATAATTTTTTTCCAGCTGATGCTGCTGCTTTACCTTATTTTTACGGACCCATTGGAGTTTCAGTATTTATTAATTTTATTTTTTTTATATTATCAACGCTGAAAATATATAAAGAAAGAAAAAAACGTGTTAAAATCATATCGGATAATAATAATTCCGATTATATTGGATTACCGGAAAAAATACTTTCAATCGATATTTACATAAAAACGTAATTTATTTATTTATTTATAATAAATTAAAGATATTAATTTTTATTAAATTATTTCATATTATTATTATTATTATAGTTTATTTTAACCTTTGATTTTTAGTTTAAA